GGGGGGGGGGTGTGGGGGTCAATTTAGGATTTTGCCCCCTCTTTTTAATCAAAAGTTTACTTTGTAAGTCGCCTTTGTGCATTCTGTTATGAAGTAGCTACCACTGTTCTTTATGACAAACACCCACCATTTTTTGGCAACATTTCCAGCATCACCCAGTATTTTCTGGCCAACTGTGGCAGGTGGCCCTTCCCATCCTATGCAACCTCTGATATGAGCTCTACATAGTTTCTGATTATCCCTGAGGCCTCTGCAGCCATTTTCTGGCAAAGCTGTCACTGTTTCCAGCAGATTGTAACTTTTTCTCCTGTGCTTTGTTATGCCCCTGCGTTTTCCTGTTATTATAATCCCTCTAAATAGGTCTTTCATCTCACTGCTTGGGCTGTCTCCATATTTTTTTATTCTAATTGTTTTGCATAGTGGCCATCTTGCCACTTACGATAGCATTTTTAGGGTTGGCTGTTCTGTGCTGCTATGTGGTCACAACAGCAAAAGCCTTATCCCACTAGGAATGGGTCACACTGGTTAAACCACATAAAATAAAAATAAACATATGGTTATAAATAAAATGAACTGGAGGCAATGAAATTTCCAAAATTTCCTATTTTTGGCTTGTTACAATGGATTTTTTTGTTTAATTCTGATTCTGATTGAAGCGGCCAAATTTAAAAATAAAGCTTTAGATTCTAAAATTAAAAGTTAGAAAAATTGTATTAAAAATAGAAGAAGAAATAAGGTTTCACATTTTAACGAGTCCCATCTTTTGGGCTGCTATAAACTCATGTTTTTTCTGTATGCTTTGCAATCTGCTGCCTGAACGCAACGAGGACTAGTCATGAAGAAGCTAACCCAAGTTTTCTTCCATAGTGCAATTGTGCCACTGTTTCCTTTTGTGTGTCATCATCATCAAGCATCAATCCTAGTGCAGTGACAGTTTGCAGATGCCCAACACTCAGATTGCTATTAGGGTAGAAGGGAAGGAAAAACTAGTTAGGGACAGTTAGAGTAGTTTGTTAATTCGAGGTAATCAATTAGATACATAGCGAGAAGAATATGTTCAGAGAAATAGAAAGTTTGTAATAAAAGGGGAAACTACATTGATTAGGCTCATATGTCATACCAAGTGGTTATCTAGCCACTGATGCGATTACTTAATGCGGTGTAGATCAACTTGAGAATGGTTGAATTTCAACGGGGTGGTATTATTAGAATAGAAGGGAAGAAAAAGTTAGTTATGACAGTTGGAGAAGTTAGTTAGAGGGTATCAATTAGATAAATGAGGGGAATAAGGAGAGGAGTCATTCCGAGAGATAGTTAGTTAGTAAAAAAAGGAGAAACCCGTTGTTAGGGTGAAACCTTGGAGGAGGATTAGTTCTCCTACTTCCGTTGTTTAATTTTGTGATTTTAATATGTGAAGTTGCCTTTCTAATGTTCCTCCATCTTTTCTCCTGTGAAGTGTAAACTAAGCATAACTTTTTACTTTTTCCCAGTTTACAAATCATGGGCCAAGAAGAATGCTGTTGGAAAAGAGCAGGTGGCAAAATTAGTGGATGACACATATAGGTGAGTATTAGAGACAAAAACGTTGATGATATTTTCTTTATCTAGCTTTGATATGCTTCAGATAAATGTAAAGGCTGCAAATTTGTAGATTGCTTTGTTGTTCACACATGATTTGACAATTTGTTTTGCTTTAAGTTGATTATAGTGGTATATGCTATAATCTCCTAAGTTTATTATTTTTCTTGTATGACCTGTGTTTTCGTTATGCCCAGAAAATTGCAAGTATCTGGGGCCATTGATCTAGCATCAAAGGGACAGGGTGCCTCGGATAGCAGTAATGTGAAAATTAAAGGTGAAATTGATGATTCCTTTCAATCGGATACAAAGATTCGCTGTCTCTGTGGAAGTTTATTGGATACAGAGCCATTGGTCAAGGTGAATTATTCAGTACATGTCTTCTATCCTCATAATTTTAGTGGTCATTTCCATTCCCCCACCTGATAACATGCTTTTTCAATTAAGATCTCTGGTGACAACTTATGTTAGTTAATGAAGAGATTCTTTTTCCTGTCTAATTGCAGTGTGAAGATACAAGATGCCATGTGTCGCAGCACATCAACTGTGTTATTATTCCAGAGAAACCTATAGATGGAATCCCACCAGTTCCTGATAAATTCTATTGTGAAATATGTCGACTTGATCGGGCAGACCCGTATGTTGCATTCCCTTATTTTAGCGACTGTGGTGTAATAAAGTGTTCAGAAGTTTTACTTCAAGTGCTATTTTTGATTTTTTTTTTTTAATTGTCAAGGGCTTGTGTTGGTAGATTTATTTTTCTTTTCAAATTGTTATCTATGATATCCTGTATTGGTGTAATTAACTGAACTTATGAGATGATAACATGTTGCATTGTGGTAACTTCATTGTTGATGGTTCTTTTAGTGGCATGTTTATAGTTGTCGAGGTGGTCAATTTATGTTTTTTTATTCTTCTATGATAACATTGTTGTCTTAGTATTCTAGTTATGAATAGTGATTCTAATTATCAGTATGGTGCTTTGTGAGGCTTTCTTTTTTGTAAAACATTTTCATTTCAACGATATGATTATAATTATCTGATTAATGCTATGTTTATTGTCTTGAACGATTTTTTCCTCTTCTATTGGTCATATTCTCTTTTAATTGAAAGCTTCCTATGCATATACTATTTACCATTTTCTTTAGCCCATCACTCAAATTTGTATATTTTTCTCTTTATATTACAGGTTTTGGGTTTCAGTGATGCACCTTCTGTTTCCGGTGAAGTTGACCACAACCTATGGCCCCACTGATGAGTAAGATTACATTGTGTGGATTTGTTTATGTTAGGCACAATTTTTTATTGTGTAACTGGGTTCATTGGTGTTTGAGCAAAACGATGTCTTTATTTGTTATATGTCAGTAAGAGATTTTGTTGCTTAAGTTGTTACTATTACAACTTGCACGTAAGAGTCTGATATCATTTATTCAGGCTTGACTATCACCTGTCTTATTTGGGAGATGTAGGTGGGAGTTTGTGTGATATCTAATTCCATTCTTCATTCTTCTGATGCCAGTTCATGTGCATTATTTTATTTTGTGCTATTCAAAGGGATATTAGTATTAGTGCTATCAGCTATTTCTTATTTACATTTTGTGAAGTAAAACTATTTGGGTGTTGAATTTGTTTTTCTGAGATGAAAATTCTCTCTGGACATTAATCTTTTGTAACTAAAATTTTTCCCTCTTTATTTGAGTGACTATTTAACCATATTTATGTTTGAACTGTTCAGAGGCAATATACAGAGTGTGGAAAAAACATTTCAACTTTCGAGAGCAAACAAGGAATTGGTATCAAAATCAGAATATGAAGTTCAGGTTGTGGCTTGGTTTAGTGCTAGTAATTTAATGCGTAAGTTCTATCTAGGTAGTTTGTTAATGTATGCCAATTGCTTCATATCTAGGCTTGGTGCATGCTTTTGAACGACAAGGTTTCATTCAGGATGCATTGGCCAAAATATGCAGATCTAAAGATCAATGGTATGTTATTACAATTTGTGAGCTCCTCACTGTTGTTTTTTAGTTTCCTTTTGAGAATTTTCTATAATGTTATGGGTCTTATTTTAGTCTGCATATTATATTATTATGTGTAATTAGAAGTATATATTTTGAAAGTAAAATGCCAGACATGTCTTTATGGAATTTCATGAATTTTGTGGTTGAATCAAAATTTTTTTCATTGATTTGGCCATGTTCTTGTAGGTCTTGCAGTTCGTGCAATTAACAGACCTGCTTCACAGTTGCTTGGGGCTAATGGCCGCGATGCTGGTTCAACTGTGAGTTTATTGGCTTGTATAGCAATTTAGAATTTCTGTTATCTTATTTTCTGTGCTTGTATTTTGAGTGTAGATATTTATGTCCGAGTGCTAGTTTTAGTTGCTCAATGTTAATTAAATTTCATTTTTTTACTGGTTTTATTCAATTTCTTATTATATTTCTCCCTTGTCAGATCACACCATTTACAAAGGATGGAATTAATAAGGTTTCCTTAAATGGGTGTGATGCTCGCATATTCTGTTTTGGGGTCCGTATTGTTAAAAAGCTCAGCATGCCAGAGGTAGGTTGCATTCTAAACTTGCTTAATTTCCAAGTATTCTGGATGACTTTTGTTCCTTCACTCCTGGCTTATTGAAATAGTCAAGTTTCATGTTAAGAATATCCATATATGATGTTAGTCCAAAGTTTCTTAGGCTGGTCCCTTTTGGTTGATTTCTGAAAATAATGAAATATGACAAAACTTTGAATTCTTATGTGATTCTCGTTCTTTGTCAATTTCAAGTAAGATGATGTTGATTGAGGCATGTATGGAAGAGCCAAAGTTTTCTGTGTAGTGCTAGTGCTAGTGTCATGTCTTGTTATTGTAGCTCTTGATGATGCACTCATTTTAATTGCGAAAAGAATCTGTCTTTTATGGGTTTGTTTCTTCAATTTTTTGTTATGTATATTATTATCCTTTCACATATATAACAAAGATATGGGTGTTCTGAACTCTTAAAGTAAATTTGAATCTTGTTAATTTTGGTTTCTATACGTGAATCCCTGCTTAGTAATTAAGGTGAAGACAGATTGTAAACACTTGTTTTGCATTAACTTCTTTTTGAGTTTTGAACCTCCTGATCTATGTTTCTCTCTTTGTTTTGTTATGGCTGGTTTTCTTCAAGCTGCATTTCGGTCTTAACTCAAACCAAATTTGTGTTGATGAAGTTTTGGTGTTTCCAAACAAAGCAGAAATGTTGTTAATATTGTTAATTTTACCGAGATTTGTTCAGGAAATGGTGAAAATAAAATAATTTTTTTTTAAATTATAGTGAAAACCAAAAATGGGAACAAAACACATTTTACTAAATCAAGCAGGCCCTTAAATGCAGCAACCTACAAGGCTGCCAAATCTCTGCATTAGATATTCCCAAACCTCAACAGTTGCTTAAAGTAGATCATCAAGAGTTAGTTAGAGAAGTTGGAAGGACAGCTTTGGTTTAATTATGATAGAAAGGTGTGGCCATGTGGCATTTAGGTTTATTAGCACTAGGTTAAAGAGCAGTGTCATAGCATATTTGTAAGGGGAAACCCTGGGAGGAGATATCTATCTACTTGTTCTGCTTATTTTTCAGTCAACCAATGATATCACTTTTTTCTTTTCTCTATTTCCATAGTGGGTTTTGAACACTGTTATAGTTGGTTACACTAATGAAACAACTATGGACAAAAATGCTAAGCCTTAGAAGCAAGAGTAATGATATATGTACAACAGAAATTGTACAACTTGTACGACAACACTTTTGTGTCTATCTCTCCATCACTTCATTTATTATGGAGAGAGATATTTATTAATGATGAAGAGATAGACACAAAAGTGGTGTTGTACAATTTTTGTTGTACATGCAGCATTACTCGACGCAAAATATGAAATCTTATCCCTTAAGAAGATCAGATTTAATTCACGAAGAAGGAATTGATATTTATATCTGTTTTGTTGAAGTCTTTGGCATGTATGTTGAGTTTTTAAAGCCTTTATCTTTTGATAATGTTATTACACATGCTTATTGTCCAATAGTGCTGTTAAATTAAAGATTTGTTCTCTGGTACCTAGATCCTAAGCAGGATTCCAAAGGAGTCTGATGGTGAGCGTTTTGAGGATGCTCTTGCACGTGTCTGTTGTTGTGTTGGGGGTGGAAATGCAAATGATAATGCTGATAGTGATAGTGATTTAGAAGTTGTTTCAGATACTTTTAGCATCAATCTTCGTTGCCCGGTAATGTTTTCATGTATTGGATTATTTTAGTAATAATAGAGTTTTATAAATCAGTTCCTGAATACACTTATAAAATTTATAGATGAGTGGTTCAAGAATGAAGATTGCAGGAAGATTCAAGCCTTGTGTTCACATGGGCTGTTTTGATCTTGAAGTTTTTGTGGAATTGAATGAACGATCAAGGAAGGTATGATATTCACGAATTTTGAGCATGATATGTCATATTCCTTCCTTTAGTTTAAAAGAAATGTTGGATGATGCATTAATATTTTCTGCAGTGGCAGTGCCCCATATGCCTTAAAAATTATGCTTTGGAGAATATCATTATTGACCCTTACTTCAATTGTATCACTACTATGGTATGTCTTTTCCCCCTTTCATCTGTATTTCTCTCTTCATAAAGCTCAAACTTGAGTTTGTTGAATTGGTAGTTATTACTTAGATTGGTTTGTTGGCACAGATGAAAAATTGTGGAGAAGAGATTGCAGAGATTGAGGTGAAACCTGATGGTTATTGGCGTGTCAAGGTTAAGAATGAAAGTGAACGCCGGGAGTTGGGGGATCTTGCTCAATGGCACCGTCCTGATGGATCTCTCTCTGTTTCTACTGATGAAGTCAAGAGAATGGAAAATTTAAAGCTCAAACAGGAATGTGTTTCAGAAAGTCCTATAGGTTTAAAACTTGGCATCAAGAAGAATAGTAATGGTAATTGGGAAGTCAGCAAACCTGAGAACACGTACACCTCTTCTGGTAATAGATTGAATGAGGATTTTGAAAATCCTGAACATGTTATTCCAATGAGCAGCAGTTCCACTGGAAGTGGCCGGGATGAAGATGATCCTAGCATAAATCAAGGTGGTGGTGGGCATATTGATTATTCTACAACCAATGGGATTGAGATGGATTCTGTGTTTAACAATAATATTGATTCAGCTTATGGATATTCTGTTCATAATGCTGCTGCTCCGATGGGTGATGCAGAAGTTATTATTCTTAGTGATTCAGAAGAAGACAATGATCTATTGATGTCTCCTATAGTTGGGTACACAAACGATCAAACTAGTGCTGCAGTTGATGGTTACTCAGTGCCACAGCCTGGAATTATTGATCCATATACAGAAGATCACAATCCTGGTGGAAATCCAGGCTTGGGAGTTTTTAATAACCCCAGGGCAGATGATTTTGGGATGCCCTCCCTTTGGCCATTGCAATCGGGAACTCAGCCAGTCTCAGGATTCCAATTATTCAGTTCTGATGTGGATGTATCAGATGCATTGGATGATTTACGAGGTGATATTAATTGCTCCTCATCACTGAATGGTTATTCGTTGGCTCCTGATACTGCTTTGGGATCTAGCACTCTTGTTCCAGGTTCCTCAACAGGTCGACCTGATGATGATTTAAATGGTGGCTTGGTTGACAATCCACTGGCATTTCCTGGAGAGGATCCTTCCCTTCAGATTTTTCTCCCTACAAAACCAGCAGAATCATCTATGCACCATGAATTGAGAGATCATGCAGATGAATCAAATGGTGTCTTCACTGAGGATTGGATCTCTCTTACTCTTGGAGGTGGTGCCAGTGGCAGTAATGGTGACACTTCCGCTGCAAATGGGTTGAATTCCAGACCGCAAATTACATCCAGAGGAGATGCCACAGATTCTTTGACAGATACTGGTTTGTTACTTACTCAACCTAAAGCTTACATCGGTCCTATTTTTTTTTTTTGGGTGGGGTTAAGTTAATTGTCTCCTTGAGTACTGTTGTTGCTGGGGAAAGCATTTGGTTCAACTTAACCCTTATAATATGTTAGGATTCAAAATGTTTTAGATACACTTTGACACATGTGAAGGTTAACGTCCTCCGCATTTTTAACTGTGCAGACCACCATTTACTTATTCTATAAAAGCAAATGCAGGTGATTGTTGGAATGTAGAAATTCTTAAAATATAATATATTTTCTCTTCTCAAACACAATTTTTTTGCTCTGACCTTCTGTTACACAGCTTTTCACTCTTTCTGTTAATGAACATGCTTTTGGTAGGTTTTTGAGAAGGAAAGACTTGATTCTTTTTCATGTATGATTGCTAAGATATTTCTGAGCTCAATATCAAGTTATTCTTTAAGCTAAGAGGGGCAATTGGAAATTTGGATATTTAATTTTCATTTCATGAAGCATTGTCGTTATTTCTGGCATTAAATGTTTAGAGACTTTGAATTAGTTTGTTGAAACTTCACATAGATGCTGTTGTGTTGGTTGTTCTGGATGCCAGATGGGGATGTAGACTTGCATAATTCTACTAGTCTTCTGCGCCGTATCTTTGTCTAATCCAACTTATAAGTTGAAAGCAATTGCATAAATGGACATAGTGGTTAACTAGAGAGATAATTCCTGATGATTGAAGCAGTTCTATTAACTAATTGGTTGAATGGAATGACTGTATTAATATGAATTACATTCCTATCCTGTGCAAGTTTTACAAATAAAAACCATCATTGGCTAATATTGTGTGTTATAAGTAAAGGCATGCTCTTTATTGCTTGCTTGGGTTAATTATTTAACTTGTTTACATGAATTAATTTGTAAAGAGAGAGAGAGGAGGGAACAAGGAAGGAGGATATAATTAAATTTTATAGAGATCTCTTCATAAAATTGACCCATATTGCTATAATTTCTATCCATACGGATGAAATTTTAATGGTTGCTTAGTGAACTTTGAAAATGTGGAGAAGATAACCGCTTAACACAAAGTGTTAGCTGTGATTTCTCATTCTCCCTGCTTTGTCTCCTTCCTCCGCGTGTTTTGTTAGTTTATTTTGCTTGTAATTATGGACAAGGCTTAGATATGTTTTTGGTTTTTTTAATCTATGTAATTTCAAAATATCTTGTTTTGGTCTTTATACTTAATTTTTGTTAGAGAATCTGTCAAATACTGTCGTATAAACCCTAAATCCTAAATTTACCTACTGGTGACCATGTTAGTGAAAACATCATATTAAACTCAATTGATACTTACATAATTGTCTCGGTCTATCACTTTTAAATATATTATTGCTGACTTGAGAGACTAAAATAAGATTTTTAAAAATTAGAGTTAAAAACAATTTTAAATTTGAGGGATAAAAACAAAGTTATCCTTAATTTGAAAGACTAAACATATTTAAGCCTATGAACAATATGCTTAGGTTGTTTCGACTATATTCATGTTCTAACCCAACAATTCTTATATTGAATGTTGGCATTTTTTTTCTCCTCCAACTTTATTGACTCATCATTCCTCCTTATGCAGCTCCTTTGCTTCTTGGTATGAATGATGTTAGATCTGACAATGCTAGAAGGCAAAGATCAGATAGCCCTCTCTCAATTCCCCGCCAAAAACGTTCAGTAAGGCCGCGCCCATATCTTTCCATTGATTCAGATTCAGAGTAGAGGTATTATACACTGTATCTCTATTAACTTCAGATGCCCTTAATGCCACATTTTGTGCGTAGAAATTGAAGAAAGTTGAGCAGCCTTTTTGGTCCTCAGGAAATGGAAGATGATGTGGTATGAGACACCTTTGGTGTTATTCCCCTGTTGGTGGTGAGGGTGTTGGTCGCAATGATTCCCAATTCTTTATGCTTGATATTCAACTTGTCCATATGACATACTGAAAGATCAGGGGCATGCTATTATTCCCCAGTTTTTAGCGAGGAACTGATGGTACTGGTATAGTGCTGTAAAGAATATTATATCTGCAATTTTGTTCTGCTGAGAGTAATTAACCTGTAAATGTTAAGCCAGCAGATTTAATAGTAGAATCAGAAATAGTTTATTCTTATTCTCACTCAGGTAGACGCCCAATTTTGTAACATATGGTTGCCAATGTTTGTAATATATGTAGGCATTAAAGTTGCCTCCTAGATTGTATATTCTGGGGAGGATAAACATCTTTCCTGTCTGCCTGTGTATTTAGTCCGCGCACAGCCGGAGTGAAATAGTTGAAATATGACCTTATAGTAAAAAAAAAAAAAAATGTGGCCCTGGATAGATGATGTTAGACAAACTATGATATCGTGTTCTTTCGTAGAGTTCTATATTGATTTCTTTCGCCATTTCAATTTTGCTATCATATTACTCTTGATTTTTCAATCAAAATGTTGAATTACTTTAGTTAAAACAACTGACATGATTTTTTTAACAATGTTTATAATACGTGTTTATTTGAAAATAATTAAGTTTTTGTATTTTTCATTATTTTTTTTTTGTGAAATTTATACTTTCTCTTCGATAATAGTACATAAAAAATTCATTATTCCTTCCGACTTTTGCCGTTCCACTTCCGGGGTGGTTGATTTTTGGAAGAAAACTCTACCGGTTGGCCTTTCAAGGAAATATTTATTTTTTTATATTATTTTTATCTTAGTATTTATACAATGTTATCTTGCTGATTTTCATTTTTAAAGGTTGATAATTTTTACATGTTTTTTGGTATTACTTAACATTCAAGAGATACTTCACACGTTTCTCCGTCTTAAAGACGCTCACATCTAGGCCACTTGAAATGAAATTAATTGCATGGTGTATGATAATGTAAAATCACTATTCTTTTATTTATTTGTTTAAAACTTTTTAATATAGAATGAAATTGTTATACTCGAGTGATTTAAAGTATAATTCTTGCTATTTTTATTCTAAATAAACGTTGTAAGTTTGTATGTTCTCCAGGTTTTGAAGGGATTGTTGCATGAGCAAGCACATTTGATGTCTAGAGAAAGTTAATTTTACAATTTAGCTTTGGACAACTTGTATATTTGTTTTTTTTTTTTTAAACATAGCCGTTTACCGAATACAAAGCCTCTAAGTATTAGAATTAAATTAGAAACACGGCTTTCAGAAGAAAAATTGCTTCGCGGCACATTTTATCAATTTTTTCTTTGTTTTTTGTGTGGGGAGGAAACTTCAGTTTCCAAATGGATGCAAACAGGCTACAAGTAATTGGATTTTCCTGAAGTTGTTGGCGTGGGTTTTTTGAAGTATCCACCTTTACTTTTTAAGGGTAAGCTATAAATCAACTATGCTTCTGTTGAGGAAAGCACAAATATGTGATATTTTTCTTTTGGCTTGAAATATTGGTTTTTGACCGTACAACTCAATTATTATATGAAGCGAACAGGACTGACTTGTGTTTTTTAAAACCAGATGTGGGTATCTCCCAATGTTGGTCCCAAGTTGTTTTCCAAGTTATATATATCACCAATTCAACATGGTAGGGTAATCTAGGACACCATCATTATTACTCCAGAGTACGTTACTTGGTAGTGGTTTGTTACATAGTGGCAGGACAATATGATGCCCTTATTAGTCAAGTTTAGAGGGAACAATCGAAAATCATCAATCTATTTTTTCATATCCTACCTCATTGGGCTTACTAGCTCAAAGATAGTAATCGATCGTGGGATCAATAGATGTGCAAAATAGTATTTGATCATATATAACAGAAATAGGGCCAACCACACAATATCAAGACAACCCTGAAACTACATCCTAATCACTGTTGGAGAAGAATCTGGCTGACCCACGGAGGAAGACTTTGAAGCTTCCATTACCATTGGTGCCTGTTCCAAACAACTCTGTGTATCATCATTCATCATCCCAATTGTCATCTTCTCCACTTCTTCTTGTGTATGTATATGAATCTTGGATACCACATCGCAGAACTCACTGCAGACAAAAGGGAAAATGCATTTTTTTTTCAGTGTATTTTACCTAGAATGTTACACAGGATAATAGGATGGAACAGGTTCTTTCGGTGCCATCAGTTAATTGTGTATAGTAAGGTGATGATGGCCAATTATAACCTACTAAAAGGTGGCAAAGCCGCATTTGAACTAACAAGAGTTAAGGAAGATGATTACTTACTGCCAAGGGTCATCCCCCACAACCATAATGTCATTTTCACTGTCAGTGTAGAGAATTCTCCATCCCTTATTAGGATCTCTTAGAAGTCCTTCCATGCCAAATAGTCTCTCTAGTTCAATCAGCAGGTCATTGTAGCTGCTCAATCTTGAGAGATCAATGGCTCTTCCAACTAAGCTACCTTGCTTGTGAACCTTCATTCAGTGTTATGTACATGGGTGGGCAAATTGTCAAAGGAAGAGAGAAAAAGGCATATCACAATATAACTCTGTTGCTATCATCGCTCACCTTTGTGCAACTTCTTTTAGCAGAGTTCTGTAAAGTTTGGGTGGTAGTTTCCCCTGACAAGGGAAATCCAAATAGTTTACAAGCATTTACCTTCCCTTTCAAATTGTCATCATTTGGAATCCTCATGTTAGCAGCACCAGGAATATTGTCCTGCAGCTTTTGCTCATTTGGGATTGTGACATCTGACCGTCCAACTTCATTTCTCATCATCCCTGGCTGAGTGGAAGGAATGTTAAATGGGACATTGGTGGGTTTAGAGTACAACATGTTGCTACCTTGGCCAGCTTTGTGAATATCACCATAAGGGTAATACGCAGTTTGAATAACTTCTGGCCCTAAAGAGTGAAAATTTGGTTTGGTTGCCTGATGCAGGTTGTAATTTGTGCAATTGACATTGGGTTTGCCCCAAGCACCAAAGTTCAAATCAACCTTTTCTGTCAGGGATCTAAATGGACATATTTCTTGACCTTGCAAGACCCTTGGAAACCTGTTAGTTTCATTGAAGCTGGCACAAGTCGAAGGGTGAACCCTCATAAACTCAGCAGCAGCAATCTTTCTCACTCCAGTTGATGCAAGATTAGAATGAGTTGGAGATCTGATATCAAATTCTGGCTGCTTAGTTCCCGTGTCACATCCATAATATAATGACATAAAACTCGTATTTTCTTGACCTTGCAAGACCTTGGATGATCTTACAGACTCCTCAGAGTCCATAAATCCACTGCCTCCTACTGCCACACCTCCCATGCAGAAGCCAACAAAGAATAGAGGAAGATTAGGATGAACTATGTTTGCTTATTTGTTACTTAGAGCATGGACTTTGGATCTAAGTCTAGAAATTTTTTTAAGAACTTCTCTACTGAAAAATACTCTTTATTTTCAATAGAAAAGTTCTAAAAATTCTTTCTAAATTATATCCAAACAGACTCTTAGTCTATCTCAGCATTAGGATTTGTAATTCATACCAGTGATGAGGTGACTCGGTGAGGCAGCCTGCAGACCTGGCCTCAGTTTCTTCAGCCTTCTGGAGGATTGAATGCTCAAGGGAGGGAGAGACGCAGAAGGATCAATCTCCCATGGAGATACTCGATCTTGATGATTAATCTCAATATCCTCATCCCATCTGACCTGTTGCATATCACAGTAACAAGCTATCACCATTTGGTCTATATTAATGAGTCTATTTGGATAAAGTTTAGAAAAACTTTGAGAGTTTTTCTATTGGAAAATGCTCTTTATTTTTGGCAGAGATGTTTTCAAAAGTTCTTTTAAACTTCTATCTAGACAGACTCTGTTAGAATTTAAAAGCACCAACTAGCTTTGTAGGGAATGTAAATTTGCATGTTTAAATGAAAGATCTTCTCTGGATATGACGATTGCATGTAAAGTGTAAAACAATTTAGAGTGAAATCCATTCAAATAGCCTTATACATGAAGAAGACAATATATTATCAAGCATGTGTTATGCATAGAAGTTATGGGGAACGAGGGTACGATTTCTCTGTGGTTCCAAATAAAGTGGCTTCACAAAATTTCAGTTTGATACATTAACCAAAAACCAGAGTTATTAATTCTTTACACTGACATTTTCAACGAACTGCAACTACAGAAAAAAGTAATAAACATTTAAATAAAAAAGTCAGGAAAATGCATTATTAATAACATTCGGTTGATGACGCATATACTTCAATGGCAAAGTTGGTGAAGATAAAAATCCAGGGCAAATGCTAAATGTATAATATAAGGTCAAAATATACTGCGTTGTTTGTAAAGAAAAAAATAGCAAATGTACCATCAAGCACCTCCATTTTGACTTAGGCCATTTGTAGGGATCTAAATCACTCATTCCAGTCACTAAACCACTGGTACACCTGCAACACAGGAAAAAAAATGTCATATTCCAAAAAAGATTTTTTTTTATTGGTTCATGGAAGATAATGGTTAAAATTTTATGACAATGTTGTAGTTGACCTTCTTTCTGGGGATTCGTCCATTTCAAATTTCATTTTGAATCTTGTCCCGATGGTCACTGGATTCTTGATGCTTTTGACATATTTTTGGTAAGGCACAACAAAATCTGCATGACTTGCTCTGTAAATGTCATATATCAAATTCAAAACGTTACAAATTTATTGCTAGATTTAAATGCCAATAACGAGCACGCTGAAATCCTTCATCAAGCAAGAAACAGATAAAGCTTTACATACAATTAACTCTCCCCAAGTTGTAAACATCCAATCGGCAAATGAACAGTTAAATAAAGTTCATTAATCCCAACATTGAAAGGCATAGCCTCCTTAGTCCTTACTTTATACTTGGATATGATTTGGTTTTTTTCATAAAATGGAATCAATTCTCTTTATTAAATAGATTGGTTTACTGGACTGTTTTTCACAAAATATATCGGTTAACTGAATAATTTGCACAAAATGGACCGATTTTGTTCTTTTTCTCAAAAAGAATCAGTTTTATTATGGGGATCGGTTGGATTTGAATTTTTTCACACTTCTAGTTCTATCTATTGGCTGACTAATGACTATTCACTCCATGTGTGGTTTGGGAATTATTTGGATAACACCGAGATGAATCGTGATAGATACGGATATATTGGCTGATAAAGCCTACTTGTCTATTTCTGAACATTAAATTCATTCATTGACAAGGGTGCAAAGCCCTTAACCTATTTTGCTTGTTATAGTCACTGTATCAAATTGGAAGAATAGCAGACAACTAGGAGTAAAAAAAGAAAACGTAAGCCTGAATAAGCTCCTATAAGTAAGAACAAATGCTGTTATGGGCGCTCTCTCTTTTCTCCATAGCTTCCCATGTGAACTATTATATCAGTCTACCACTTCACTTTCATTGTGACCAAGTGTTGACTACCAATAACTGACAGATAAGTTCTCATGACAAACATCAAATTAATGAATGATCTATAGTTTCCACGACAAAATGGAAATCAAAAGTCCAATAATTAGAGTATGAAGTTCAAACATTTTGCAAAACAAAAAATCGGATCCATTAATATAGTACCTTGGACTGTAGAAAACATGAAACATGCTTTTCGCGGATATAGCATTGGCCACAGAAGAAAGGAAATTGGGATAATAACTCTGGCTACCAACAATTGATTCAGGAAGACCATTTCTTGGTCGAGCAGCTCTTCGGATTCCCAATCTCAATTCTCCATTTTCACCCCTACAAACAAATTAATGACCAATAAGAAACAAACATTATAATGATTTTATTATCAGTCATTTTCCATGCTTCCAAATTTTGGCAAGACAAATTCTAGATCCCCGTGAACCAAAAATGTCACTATGCTAATTTGGTACTTCACTGTCACTATGACAAGAAGCTTCCTTAATATTAACATCAACAATGAATGTTTACTAATCATTCCAATAAAAGAACAAATTAACAGTGATTGCTAGAACAGTATAGGAAAAACAAACATATCAATACCAATGAAAACAATATCCTATTTGAACATGTATACACACCTTAGAAACAGAACTGCATCTCCAGAAACGAGATTCTTTTGGTTAACAAAGATACTCCAGCCAGTAGTGAGCAGATGCCGCCTTGGCTGACCTGACAAAAAGTTACCACATGGACTTTTTGTATCATTTATGTCAATCAATATGTGATTATGAAGCCAGCAACACCAACTTTTTCATTTATTTTTTCAATTACCTCTGTAAATATGTCTAAATTTCCATTCCACACCATGCAGGTCTTTGGCAACAAGCTCTTGAGAGGGTCTCTGCTGCTTATAATCCTGTAGTGAGCACAAAAGCAATTCATCATTCTCAGGGAGACAAAGAATTCAAAACTCTTGAAAAATTTAGTTGTAGAACTTATGAGTGCAAAGTAGAGCATGGTGTCACACCAAAGGAGGAAAACAGTCTTCAGCAGCTCTGCGAGGGACTGAGAACCCCCCATGAGTGCTGGTGTCTAAGGCTGTAAGCGTTTTGCAAAACATGTGAGGTGTTGACTTGGCAGGTGTTGTTTCATTTCCCTGTTCATCTGCTCTCAATTCCTCACGATCTTTCCCCTCCAAATACAATCCTGCCAACTGAACACAACCCAAGATTTCAAGCACTCCCCTTGTACTACAAACAATGCTCAAAATAATAAGAATTTCTCTACTTTTACAGAAGCAAAATAAGGTTTGAACAGCCACAAATGTTAGTCATGTTGCATATCAGCTTCAACAGCCAGCACCACAAGAGTTGTTACAAAGGAGAAAACAAACCTTTGCCAAGTAAAGATTGCGGTGGTCATGAACCTCATTTTTTGCTTTCTCCAAACATCACCGCGTAAAATTAAAAACAAGAGAATCACACAATTGAAGAGTAATAAGAAAAATTAGGTCAGTGGCATGAGGGAAGTAACCTTCGTTGCCGAGAGTGGATTGTTGTTTGGGGTGTTTCAAGATGGAGAGGCCGTGCTTGAGAACTTTCTCGGAACGGTGAACCTTGAGCTTCCTGACAAGGCAGAGGTAGTCCCACGCGCCGCCAACGGCAGTAGCACAATGCCCATAGCCTCCTCACTCCCAACAGCAATCTTAACCCCCGAATTGTGGAGCGCGGGGAGTTCGTGCTCGGTGACGTCTGCGTCGTCGAATTGGAATGCATGAGGGTTTGAATTTAGGGTTTGGGAAATGAGGAGGGGAATGCGGGAGGGGGCATTGGAGAGCATGTGCAACCTCTTGTTTGAACGATGTGGGACTTTGCTTGCATCCTAACAATCCTCCCTTCAAACAAAGGACCACAGTTTTAACCCATTCCCTGCAGCAGAAACTACGAGTATTATCCGATGGTGGCCCCACAGAGCTCACTCGTGCTCAGAGTGCTTGTACCGTGATGGTTCTTGTGGAATGGGAAACCAACGAGAATAATAAAAAACAAGAAAAGAGTGCAATCAAGTGGGTTTAAAAAAGGGAAAGGCAGAAAGTGAGAACTGTAACAAAATGGAAATGAGGTCAAATCATGAAAAAGGAGTTCTTGTTTGGAGGGACACCACAAGGGAGAGAAAAGAAAAACAGGGGAGGAGTGGAACAGAGGACATGGTGGGAAGAAAAAAAAGGAATTTTGAATCAAATAATAACAAGAAATTCAAAGTATGATTCCATTTCCACCCCCATTTGAAGGTACTTGGAAGAGGGAGCAGACATAGACAATTGCATAGGAAGCACAGAAACAAAAGGCAACAAAAGCCAATGTGGTAGTGGCTTTTGGACTTGAAGTGTTAGAGAGAGAGTGTGTATGTGTTGGGTGGGGGGGACAGGCTAAGACAGTACACAACCCACACTTCCCTACCCTCTTCTCCTTCACTTTTTTTTAGCATATATATATATATATAAGAAACCCTACTAACCGAGTTGTAGGCCTTTTCATAATCTACTTTAAAGATGATGCACCTCTTTTTTTTTTTTTTTTTTTTTTTTTTCTTTTTTTCTTTTCATGCTCATGATATATATATGAGTGTGTGTCAAAATTCTTAATTATATTTATATAATGTAATTTTTATTAAATAATATTATTTTAACAATTTAAAAATCGATTTTATAAGTACATAATTAACCTCATATCTTTAAGCAAATCTTACAACTATTAAGACAAAAAAAAAAGTTTGTCATTTCCTTTGTACTTAACTTTATCTTTTCTTCTTTATTAATAATTTCCTTCACTTGTGTTGTGGGTGAGGCCCTCCACCAACACAACCAAAAAGGATTCAATTGATTAAACATCTTCTGCCCTCCCTCTAGGAAAATTCGACCCACCACACATTCTATTAGGTACGTAAATATTATGGTAATGAATACCATCGTTGGGTTCAACTCAAATGAAAGTTAATAGGTTAATTCGCCAGCCAGCCATAAGTAGAAACAAAAATGTTACCTTTTTTTCACCTGATTTCGTTTGTAGGCGTGTCATATCCGGCACATAGATTACAGAGACACACCAGTTAAAATCATTAACTTCTTTAAATTTTATTAATGTCAAAAACTGATTTTAACTGACAACAAATAAAATTACGAGATTAACTGACATGTATTGTCATTATAGAAGTTTTTTACTCAGTTGCCAGAAATTATTCTTAATATGACAATTAGAATAATTATTAAGGTTTTAAATTATGGATATTAAGGTTGTAAAAGTTATGATCATAGTTGCGGTTTTGTTGTAATATTTGACATTGCAGGAAATTGTGGCTGATACAACTGCAGTTGTTGTTGCAGTGAGTCAAAAAAATCTTGACTTTGTTGCTAAACTCGCGTTACAAGTCCATATCTATAACAGTTTGTAATCAAGGATACATAAAAAAAAATAAAAATAAAAATACTGTGCTTCATATCTACATAACATTGTATATATTTACATAGCATTATTTTGATGTGTCTAATATCTAACACGTTTTGAACACATGACACTCATACTAGTCAAACATGCTTCTAATATCTCTATAATATCATTATTATTATTATTTTTTTCAAAAAAGTTTTTAACAGAGTTTAGTTATCTATTAGATATTATTTCAAACCGTCATATCTATAAACATTTTTTTTCTCTATAAATTTAGTCCATACATTATTTTAAAGCTAACAATTAAGAGGTAATTTATGTTCAATTTTTACTGATAAAATATTTTTTTAATGCAGATAAGAATCAAATAAAAAAATATTAGATCGATCCATGTCCCAACCTTATAACTATTGAACATTTTTTTAACTATATTATTAATACAAATTTTTAAATTTTCCAATAATTAATATCTGTCCGAAAAATTAATTAATCATGTTTAATGAAGCCTGTTCTCTTAAGATTATAGTTATAGATATGTAAATTGCATATGCTTTAATGCAATTATAAATATTTGAAGTGAGTGAGTGTGTCCTGGATACTGTAGTGTGTTTGGTGTGGCAGGAAGTATGGTGGGCGTGTTGTTAGTTGTTAGGAGTCCTAAGTCTTAGCCTAATCAGTTGCAGAAAGAGGAGCCCTCTCTGAAGTCTGAACCTATACATATCTCACGTCTCATCACTCTTTCCTTTTTCATATTTTTCTGTTTTGCATCTCACGCGCCTGCAACTTTCTTACTCACTTTGTCCTTCTTTTATGTCTTCTTTTCTATGCCAAAATAGACCCTTCATCCCCACCAGTTTATGTCGCATGTACTCCGGGGGGTAAAATCTAAGTTCCCAACTTCCAATAGGGTCGAGTTAACTTCGGCATAGTAACCATAATATGCTCATAAAATTCGAACTCTATTTCAAATTTTGTTATTATTATGAATAAAAAAAACAAAGTAATTTTCATTTTATATATTGATATTGATGATTAATAACTAAAGCATTGACAGTTTGACACCTATAGAATTGACACAACAATTTGCAAAACTTGCAGATTGAAATAAATCCAATGGGACAGGATCTTTAAATGTTACTGATTAATTTTCTGATGCTAAAGTATGTTACATAACTACTGCACGTTCTTCTATAGCAAGCAATTAAAAGGGTCAACTGGGATTTGGTTGACTAACGGTTGCTTAACTAGTGTAAAATAATAATGAAAGGTTTGAGTAATTTGTAGGCTTTGAATTCAACAGCCTTCATTCCAGTTGGTAAAACGTCAAATAGATATAAAAATCACTTGCACTAATTACCAACTGTTCGAGCATGAATTTGGAAGTATTTTTCTGGTCAAGAAGAGGTTGTTTAGCTTTTGTTTTTTCAAGTCTTTTTTTTGGGTCAAAGTGTTTGGATGAACATAAAATAAGACAAATCTTTTCAGGAGCTTTTGAAAAACTATATCATTTTTTCACTTTCAAGTGTATCACTTTTCTGTGTCTTTGCTAGGTCTTTAGAGAAGCCTTGTCAGTGCACAGATAATCAAAACACGCCTATAATAAGTGATTTCTTGCTTTAAAAATAAATAAATTAAGAGAAGATATGCTCCTTGTAAGATTAGAAAAGAGTACCAATTCAGCAAAAAAATTATAATGAGATTTACATAAAGCTTATTAATAAATAAATAAAATATGAGAAACATATTCAATTCATAATTAGTGTGAATAACAAAGTCGACCAAATGTGTCAACCTTGTTGGTTATAATTAGTGATTCATAATAATGATTTGAGCAATATCTTTTACAAAGTAATATTAATTAAAATATTGACATGCACGGGTTAATTCCCCCTTTTTACTTTTTACTTTTCTTAAATAATTATTTATAAAAGTTGTTAACTCAATAATATGTCATTATCGATGAAGTTTTAAAAAAATATAAAGAGTATGTAACTTATTTGCATAAGAAAGAACATGCAGAATATATACTGATAGTATAAGTTACGAAAGTTGGTGGTGTGAAGTAACTAAACGTTAAGATGTTAACATATTTTCTATACTTACATGAAAAAATTTCATTCAATGGAATAAAATCTAAATTAGTGTTCTTCCTTTAGTGGTAATGATACAATGCACATACACTAGGGTTCTTTTCGAAATGTGTTTGCATTGAAGAGTTATATACCCTTCCTAGCTAGTTACTATAAAAGCTGCAAGTGTCCACCCAGAGCCGTGGCTAAGACAAGGTTAATAAGGTATTTACTTTAGATCCCAACTAGGTTCTTTTTAATATATATATATACATGTAATTAAGGAATATATTTAATTATATTATTTATAATTAATTTTTTAATATAAGATTATACAATTATTTAAAAAAAAATGTGTCTATACATAAATATTATTGTAGAATTATTAGTTTGAAAAATTTTATTATGATTAAAAAGTTATATTATATTTGTTCGAATTGAATAAAAAATGTTATTGAAATAAATATAAAGGTTAAATTTCATGATAAAAAATAAAGAATATAATTTTATTTTATTTTATATTTTCACAACTTATTTAAAAATAAATATCAATAAATAAGATTTTGAAAAAATAATATTTTATTATTAGAGATAATGACTTTTTTATTCTCTAAATTGAAATTACTAAATATTAAACTATATTAAAAATTTATTTTTTAAATATGTTAAATATAAGTTAATTTGTAGAATATTGTAAATAATATTTGTAATTATTTTTATAATTATTTTTCAAA